AGAGATTTTTATGAAATGTTACACAGGACCTCTGTGAAAATTACACTTTTTAGTAAATTATTTTATATGCAGCCTCATGAATTATGATGATAAACATTATAAATGTTAAAATTATATGATTGTTTTAGGAGGTATTATCCAAAGAGGCTACTCTGTTTGAATTTCGGCAGCCTGAAGTTTCACCCTTGCTACTTATTTTGGATCGTCGAGACGATCCTGTAACACCTCTTCTCAATCAGGTAATTGTTAATTTTGCATTATTGTTTTGTTTTAACTTTACATTCACTTGAAAGAGGATTTAACACTGATTGTATTACATTGTAACTTTGCTTATATACAGTGGACGTACCAGGCCATGGTTCATGAGCTCCTTACCATCACTAATAATCGTGTCAGTCTTTCTGAAGTACCAGGAATTTCGAAAGATCTGAAGGAAGTTGTTTTATCTGCTGAACATGATGAATTCTACGCAGATGTAAGTTTACAGTCATAATCATTAATGCTGTAATGATCTAATAATTAGGTGATATTGTAGCATGTAGACCCATTGCTGGGTCATGACTGCAAAAGAAGCAACTCCATACATGTGGCAGTATGTTATGAACTGAAATACTGATGATTTATCTAAATTGATAAGACTATTGAAGTATAGCAGACATTGTAAGAGTAAGTTAAAGAGTAAGATCGGTTGGAAATGTTTGATTATTTAGTGTTATAATCATTGTATTTGTTTTCAGAATTTATACTCAAATTTTGGTGAAATTGGGCAAACCATAAAGGAATTAATGGAGAAGTTCCAGAAGAAAGCCAAGAATCACCAAAAAGTGGAAAGCATAGCAGATATGAAAACATTTGTAGAAACTTACCCTCATTTTAAGGTTTGTATATATATATATATTTGTTGTCTAAGGAAAAGTCATACAGTGAAAGGATAAGCCATGCAATTTCATAATCATAATAATTTTTGTATCATGAATAAGTTCAATTTCAGAGTGAATGCTTGCAACTAAATTGTCACATGAACATATATGCAGTGACTGATGGAAATGAGCTGCGCATGCTTATCAAGGCAGACTTCATGTCAACGCAAGGTGACAGCCAACTGGCTAAATATTTGTTGGATCAGAATGCCTTAATTGTTTGCTGAACCTCTCTGTGCTATGCGACATGTGTAAATCATGAAGTTTTATAACAAATTAGATAATTGTGAATGTGATATTCATACAAATATGTATAACTTATAAGTTGTATTATAATTTCTCAGTAATTTTCTCAATAACAGAATAGTATCACAATTGTAAATATATTCTAATGTATAAAAATATGTTTATACTTGAGTAATTGGATTTTTATGTACAAGAAAAACTTGACTGAAATTGTTATCACAGTTCTAGATTCCATTGGATTTTATTTTTGCGGTAGCGTAGTTGGTTGAGGGGCTATGCTGCAAGCCAGAAGGTCGCGGGTTCAAGTCCTGATGAGGTCATTGGATTTTTTCAGTTGACCTGATCCTTCCAGCCACACTTTGGCCCTGGGGTTCACTCAGCCTCTAACAGAAGTGAGTAAAGTGCGGCCAGCGCATAAGGCTGACAACCTTACAGCCATCTTTGAGCCGATTGTCTAGAAAATGTGAGACCCTCAACGTCTCACAGCTCTACGGGCCTTCATGCTCTCTTACAGGGATAGCTTTACTTTTTTACTTTAAAAGTACAAACATGTTGCATTTCAGAAAATGTCTGGAACAGTGTCCAAGCATGTTACAGTTGTGGGCGAATTGTCTTCTCTTGTGACTCGTCATCATCTCTTAGAAGTGTCTGAACTGGAACAGGAACTTGCATGTCAGAATGAACATTCTCAGCAGTTGCAGGTAATATCATCATGATGAATATTTCATGTTCATCCACAAACTTAAATATTTTGATGTGCTGACTGGATGACTGATACACCCATTGCTTAATAACAGCTCGATAAACATGTAAACCAACCAACTGTTAGCAGTTAGCTGAGAGCCAACAGTTAGGTCATTGAGTTAGTTGTGAGATGGTAGAAGGCTGGCAACGACATGAGCAGAAGAGGATGTTGTTGGGATCTTTTGCCAAGCAACTGCTTGTGAAGACTTACTGTGTGTTGTAGCGATTTGTAGCATATGTGAATTAGCAAGACTGTTACAATAATTTGTGGTTATGAGTTATAAAAATACAAATCCAGTTACCACTCGAGACCCTATATCTAGTCACTAACACATGACAATATCCCATTTATTTCACATATGTTTCCGTATCAAATGCCACTTATTCTCTAGTCACCCTTCTTCCTCACCATATGTTTTGACTGTATACGGCCATCATCAGGTGTCTTCTGTCTTGCTAAAATTGTTGCACTGTATGTCAAAATTATGTATCACATGTGAAGGTGATGTTTCCTAATTAAAATATATCGGCCTTAATTAAAATTAATTAACATCCCAATATTTTCCTTGCAGTCATCCATGCTTTTAAAAGATATGTGTTTGAGTATCTCTTGTTTGCATTTAGTTCTGCAGCATGGGCATTATGCGTGTGATTTGTGCAGTTCATTTAGTTGCAGTTAGTGTTATTATCAGTTTTGTTATGTATGCACCTTGGGCTGTAGGCTCTTCCAAGCTGTCAGAGCAGTTGTGTTGTTAATTGGTCTGTGTGTGTAGATCCCAGGTCTGGTCATGTGGGATTTGTGGTGGACAAAGTGGTGCTGGGGAAGGTTTTCTCTGAGTACTTCAGTTTCCCCTGTCAATCTTCTTTCCACCAATTGCTCCACAATCACTGTCGTGTATCATGTGGGGCTGGTACAATAGGCCAGTAGTGTCCAGAGTAGCAAGTGTCACCCCCACTAATATGGTAAACAGACCCATTGCTCAGTGATGACTCTGTAAACAATGGCCATTGCTAGGTACCGCCCACAACATACATGCATGCAACAATAGAACACCAGGGTTCTGCAACTTGTTTCTAAGCAGTGGAATGGTAAACATGCCTCTACAACAGTAGAGTTATTGATGGAAACAGTGTTTACTATTTGAGGCAACCAATTCAGTTGAGAGTTGAAATTTTGGCTGTGATAAGAAGACTTTATGTGTGCTGTAATTACAGTGAGACTGTTTTAATTACTGCATTAAAATCCGTTGCCAGGATATGATTCGTGAAGACTGAGAAGACTTAGCATGTGCTAGTGATTTGTAAAGTGTTGAAATCAGCAATAGTGCTGTAATTACTTGTACTTCTGAGTCATGTGTATAGGTGGTCAGTAAAACCATTCACCAATCCAAACCGCATGTATAGTCACCCCTAAATTGTGACAATATGGAACTTTATTTGTGTCAGATGGTTGCCATTCTTCTTCTCCCACCTCACTTCATATTTGTTTGATGTCAGTGTTGAAATAATTTATATAGTATATTTTGTAAAAAAAAGAGGTAGCATTGTCCCTGTGCTTAATTATAAGTACCATGCCATCAAAACATGTTGATGAGTGGAGGTGTTAGCTCCACAGTTCTTGACCTCAGCACTAGATGGAAGTAAGTGTTCAGCATCATGCCCCTACCACTTTACCCCTAGGGAGAGAGCCCCAGTACCCATTGGATAGGAGTCTGGGTGGGCCCCAGAGCCAGTCTGGATGCTGTGGAGAAGAGAAAAGTCTTTTCAGTGCCAGCCCTTAGCCTGTTGCTATACTGATGGAGGTATCTTGACTCCTATAAACTGTGTTGTACCAAATTATTTTCAAGATTGGGAAAACATAAATATTGTAACATTATTTGGATTACAGAGGATCCGGAAGTTGATAGGAAACAGTAAAGTAAGGGATATCGACGCGGCAAGGCTTGTTATGCTGTATGCTCTGCATTATGAAAAACACACAAACAATGACATTGTTGGTTTGGTGGATGCACTGAAACAAAGAGGTGTGCCAGAACATTTGACAAAAGTGAGTAATATTATCATATTCTCCATGATACTGCAGTTTCTATCCTCATATCTCTCAATTGTGTTCTGAATTGACATACAGTTTTCTCTGACAGGATTATTAGATTAATTTCTTTTTCTCATTGTTTCACCCAGTCAAACTTGAATAGATTAAAAGTACACAAAACTATTTGTAATCATGAAAAGGAAAGACAATTTCTTATTTGTTTATCCCTTCAGACTGAGAGAGGAAAACAAGTCATAAAAGGTAAATTTTCCCTGAGCTTAAGTAATTAATCAGTACGCCATGAGCATGTACATATGGGGGAGTGGCTGTATAGATCCACGTTTTCTTGACCTCTTCACTTAGCTGGAGGTGAGTGGTCAGCTTCACATGCCAGCTGCTTTACCCCCTGGAGAAAGCCCCTGGTACCCATTGGATAAGAGGCTGGGTGAACCCCATAATCAGTCTGGATAACATGGAGAGGCTGTTCAGCCTGTATCCAGTCACTATACCGACTATGCTATCCTGATTCCTGGAAAACAAAGTCATTTTCTATATGAAGAGCTTGTCAGATCAATGTTGGACACATGTGCATCTAATGAACCACAATTTTAATTTCAGTTTCCATAATAATTTCTTTTTAGTTGATCTACAGTGTAATGGAATATGGTGGTACACATGCAAGACAAAGTGATTTATTTGGTACTCAGGATGCTGTGAAGCTCACAAAAACATTTTTTAAGGTGAGCATACTTGTGGAAACTGTGTGTTTATTTTATTACAACAAATCTTTCAACTTCCACTGTTGTATTTTTGTTACTTTTAAAACATTTATTTATCTTCTAGTGAATGTATAGCGCATTATTCAGTTGAATTGCGGAAGAGCAAGCTTTGTTATTATTTTATGTTACTGTGGGTTTGATAGTGTGGAGCATGGATGTATAACTTTACATTCAGCTATCATCTTCAGATCAACTATGTGAATTGGAAGCCAGAAATACATAGTTTGGTGAAATATAACAAATTTCCTTAATTGAAATTTGATTGCTTTTCTTCTAATCTAATCATATTTATAGCGTTCTAAGTACAATAACTTTTTTTTCTTTTCTTATTTTCCATGTTGTCACTTCACCATAATTTTAACAATATTTTCAAACATAAGAATAATGTCTCTACCTTTTGCTAGAAAATAGTATGTAATATGCTTATCTTTGTGTAAATAAAAATAAAACTTTATATAAAGTCACTATGTTCATGATGGCAAGAACTCAAATAATTATTAAGGAAAAGTAAATTTTGAAGATCATCTATTACAGAAGTAATATTTTAGAAAATAATCGGGTTAGGTAAAATACCTTTGTCGATTGTTAGGTCACTAGTTGCACATCATGTGGATAGAGTACCTACAGAAGTAATGTTCAAAAAGAAACATTAGATCAGAGCAATATGGAGTACACTGGTCAAATGTCAAATTCAGAAATAGAATATCTATGGAGAGCCGCCTGTAAGACCTGTCCATTAGAACATACATTGCTATTTGGGAACTTTTCCTCTGTACCTGATGTTTTTATAGTCTGAAGAAGTAATACAGTTAAAATTTAAATTACCGTATTTACGCATGTATAGGCTGCACATTTTTTGCCAAAAATTCAAGAGGAAAACTGGGGTGCGGCTTATATTCGAAATATTCAAAATCACACTTCATTTAAAAAAAATTATATTCATAATTAGTAATACAGGGTGTTCAAAGATCAAGGAAACCGGGGCAGCAGCATAGAGCAGATGGAACGTTTCTCCGCGACTACATTGCCAAATTTTGGAATAATTTCTACTCCTGAAATAATATTCCAAGAACATTATTTTTTCTATAATTTCTGTCTGAAAATTGTGCTGCAGCCTATACACGCACGCGACCTATACATGCGTAAATACGGTACTGTTTTTGCAGCTAACAAAGGCAGTCACTTGTCACATCTAGGTACTATATATAATTTCTGTTTCTTGTAGAAGTTCAGTGAAGTAGCCTTTTTAAGAATTTGCATCATCTGTCATCATTTGCTTTCATTTTAAGTTGAAAATAAGTTGTGGTTGTTTGTAGATATAGTTTGATATGGAGACTGACCTTTACATATTAATACTCTGAAATTATCATAATTTCAATGCTGCTTCTCTTTCATTCAGTATTCGCCAACAGTTCTTGCCTCCTTGTTTTTGAGTCACTGTATGACAGTGTGTTCAGAATTAATGCCTTTCTGTGGTTCCTTGTTCAGGGCTGATGCTTGTCAGAACAGCAGAAGAAATCTAACTTGAACTACCTCAAATCCAACATGTAAGAAATCTTAGGGCGCTGTTTCCCTTTATTTTAATCACTCTGGAAATAGTTTTTATAACATTCTTCCAGTCTCCGGAATAGTACCCATTATATGACAGTTCATTAAAATCAAATTTTTGATTAGTCTAAAATATAATCTGGCATATAGGCAAATTGTATCCCTTATGGTAGCTTAACTGATCTTCTTTACTTCAGACAAGGGTGAAACTCCAGCCAAGGATCAGTGTCATGATAGTGTGCCATCACTTACCTCAGACGTGTGATGTGTCTTGACACTTTTTCTTCACACCATAATGAGAAATATTCTGTTCGTTAACCACTGAAGGGGTCACCATGTGAACAAGCTATGTTTTCATTATTTTAATTGTGTAAATGCACTTTCTTTCTTGTCTCAGATGTACATATAACATGTGAGTGAATTTTGACAGGGCTTGTCAGGTGTGGAGAATGTGTATACACAACATAGCCCTCTCATCAAAGACACCTTAGAAGAATTAATCAAAGGAAAGCTGAAGGAAAGTTCTTTCCCTTATCTTGGAAATGGTCAGCTAATGAGGAGGTATGTAATGTGGTGATATAACTGTAGGAGAGGGTGAAGATCTCCACATGTTTACATCAGACATCATGGAAGAGTGCTTAGTGTTCCTTTTTCATGTTTGTGGACTCATGGATTCAGATTTTGGTCTGGAGACTGGGCTTCATGACTGGAGTATTTTCCTCATTCCCTCCACGCTAATGCTGGGACATAAAACAGGCCGTAACCGTTTACATTTGTATTTTTTTCAATTCATCATTCACAGTCATCCTGCCATTTGGTGCTCAGTAAGCAAACCATCATAAATATCCCAGATATCAGTTAGTATACTCATGGCCTTGTCTGTGGCACTTGCAGGAGTGAACTTGTTATCAGCCCCATTTAACCCCGATGTACAGTAATCTGCACTAAGGGAATAACATATAAGAAGCATGACTTTTATTATTAATATTATTTTTATTACTCTACAATTATGGTAGGTATTGTGCATCATCTGATGTAAATTAAGGAGCCAGTCTAGCTCAGTTATTATAGTGACAGGCTATGTGCTGGATGGCCAAGGAATCAGGGTTCGAGTCCCAGCAGGGCTAAGAAATTTCTCTCTTCTCCACAATGTCCAGTCTGGCTTTGAGGCCCACTCACCCTCTTATACCGTGGGCAATGGGAGCTTGTTTTCTGGGGGAAAGCAAGGGGGTGTGAAGCTGAAGCTGAAGCTGAAGCCAAGGTCAGGAGTAATGGAGTTGTACCTCCACTCCCACATATGGCTTCATGGCACGGTGCTTAATTAAATGGAGGAACTCTGCCTTCTCCTTTTTTCTTTGTCTTTTTTGTTCATGCATTTTGAGGTTGGGGGTCTATCCCTGTCTTCAGCTGCATGGCTGTTGTTAGACTGATATATTTATTTATTGGTTTTAATTTGAAATTAGTAGCAGTGATTTGAATTGCTAACTACTGCAACATTTGGGTGGCACAGTGGTATACGAGGCTAATGGTGACATTCATGGTTTCACACAGTGTATAGCATCCAAGATGCCGGTCACGGTAGCCGAGCGGTCTAAGGCATGCACTGTCTTCACTCGCTCGGAAGCCGAGATCGTGGGTTTGAATCCCACTCAGGGCATGGATGTTTGTGTGCGTTTTTCTGTGTTTGTCTACAGGTAGAGGCCTTGCGACGAGCTGATCACTCGCCCAAGGAGTCCTACCATATGTGTAAGATCTAGAAAAACCGAAGTGAACGGAGTTCATGGAGGTAGGCCTAGGCCCACTGGGGCTGTAGTGCCAAGGAAAAAAGAAAAAATAGCATCCAAGATAACAGTGGTATATTGACTCATTTCTCATACTCCTTATGGTAACATCTGTTTGTATATTAAAATCAGTTTGAGAGATCTTACTGTTAAAAGTTATGATTACAGGCCACAAGATGTCATTGTGTTCATGATTGGTGGAGCCACATACGAAGAATCACTTGCTGTTCATCAGTTGAATAAAAACAATTTTGGCGTTAGGATTGTTCTGGGTGGAACAACCATTCACAATTCAAGCAGTTTTTTCAAAGATGTCGAGCAAGCAATGCAAGGTGTCACAAGACGTCACACACGCATGAGGAATTTGTGAACTGCCAGTACCTCTTCATTATAATGTATGTATATATTCATCAAATCAGTTCTGTAACATGATTAGTTCTTGGGTCATTATCAAAATATCATTGTGCTTTCCAGTCTGATAATACACAAATGTCAGTCAGTGGAAAACACCTGGTAAAGTGATTTAACCATTTGAGGTCTGTAATTTTAACAAATGACATACCAGTGGGTCCACATTATTTTGCTTGAATTTCAGAACTGTTGGGCTGAGTCTGATGTTGGCCTACAGCATGATTTTCTGAACATTTTGCTAGGCTAGGCCATGCCTCAGAGAAAAGAAAACACCTTTACAGTTATATGTTTGAACACATGACAGACAAGCAAGGCCACTCTTAATTTCTTGCAATTGTAAGATTACTGAGACACTGGGTTCAATGTGACATTGCATCCAGACAATTTTCACAGGCGTTGGGCTGAACCGGACAGAGGACATGAAAGGGTCAAAATAAGAATTGGGGTGTCAGCTTGTCATTTGTATTTCTAAGGTAGAAAATTGCTTTTCTTCTATCACCATCTGCTTAAGAATATGTTGAGTTTTAGAGAAAAGTAATCATTTTCATGCCATGTATGCATCATCAGCCAACAAAGTTTAAACTTACAAGTAGTCTATTTTCCTCAGAAATCTGAATTACATGTGAAAACTCAAGTTGTGAACAACATTTTTGATATATCATAGGAATGCTACACTAGTACATACAGTGAAATCTCATTTGTATATTAAGTTTATGAATCACTGTATGAGTGTGTATACAGTTCGAAAATTTATCAGCAAAATCTGCAATTAATGTACATAATTATTGTTTTTTTCCCAGTTAAATATATTATGTCAACACAATAACAATGTGGACATAGTAAATCTAAGAAATAGACTGTAATATATGTAAAGTACCATTATAACAGTAAAGAAAAGTTCCTCATTAAAGTGTCTTAAGTGTCATCCTCAATGTCAACCATATATGGTTCCCCACGGACATTTCACCTGATAGATTTAGTGGATGTGTATGTTCGTTGAAATATTCATGTATTCTGTATCTTTGTGCTCTAAAGCTTAGAATGTATAAAGATGTGCCCATGCAGCATGGTGAAGGAATTAACTTCATGGCATCAAAATTGTTTTTAGAACTGTACTGTAATTGTAGCATCCTCTTTATCATAAAATTTGATAGTCTGTTGCCGTGGTGTGGGAACTTCTTGGAAAGCAGATGTGCTGAAGGAGATGTAATATTAAAAGCTTTATGGAAAAAGATTGTGAATATATAAGTTGGATTAACATTGCACAGGATAGGATTCTTTGGCAATTATTTATGTTAGTGGCATTACCAGGATTTTAGTCAAAGAAAAAATGGGTGAAAAAAAGGATAAAAAAAGAAAATGTTCATTCAATACTGTTTCCCATATTATAATTTCAAATGAAAACAATATTTGTGCATACAACAAGTTCAGCTACAAGGATTTACTTTTACTTTTAGTCTTCAGTATTCTCTGCAGCCTGGATTAAATCTTCGTGGTTAGCCAAGTTTTCACTGACCTCATCCTTTATCGATACCTGGAAGAGAATAAATATATCAGATCACAAAATTCTATTCTGAAAATGTTGTGATATTTATCATGTTTTGGAGCAGTTATTTTCTTACTGTTAATAGCCACTTTTCTGATTTACAGACCAGAAAAAAAGCAGTGGGTTTTCTAAGAACCGTCACCACACCTGTTTCATATTATACAGTACAATTTAATGGTCTACAAACTAACTACTACTGTTGTGTCTAAACATGATTATTTACAATATAAAAATTAATGACTTTATGTGGCACATGGATTCACATCCACACAAAGTTTTTGTGCAGTTATACAAGTGTCTTGTGAAAGTAAGTTGTAATAAGGATGGTACAGGAAAAAATGGAATCGGTTGTACGGGTCATTCAAAGCACTGGTGTGGTGTACATAAGTACTAGTACTAAAAAGTAAAAAGTTTGGTAGACTGTTTAAAAAACAAATTCATATAGTCAGTCAGAACTTACAAGGTTTTAGGTTCTCATAGCAACAACTACAAAGATTACGACTGACTTCAGGGATGTGATGCCATATGGTTTAGTGGATAGGTATCAACATTTTGCTGGGGTTGACTCAGCCTCTAACAGAAATGAGTACCAGGAATTAAGTAAATAATTTTCCTGGGGAGTAAAGTGCGGCCAGCGCATAAGGCTGACAACCTTAACGCCACCTTTGAGCCGATTTTCTAGATAATGTGGGACCCTCAACGTCTCACAACCCTATGGGCCTTCACGGGCTGTTACAGGGATAGCTTTACTTTACTTTTTACCCATCAGCTGATAAACTTTAAGATTCATATTGCTAAAACAAACAACATATCCTGAGTTAGCTTCTCTGCATTCCAGTAATAATTCTTTGTGCATGTATATGGGTTTATTTGTATTGTTTTGTTTGTTTATACTGTTCACTTTAGCTGCAATAACACACATTGCTCTAATGAGCAAATTTTATGCACTGTTGCAGTTACCAAAGGTATATGACTTTGTAATGTTCCATATATTTCATATCTTCCACATGCAGGTCACTGTTATGAAAATGCTAACAGAACTGTGATGTTAACAAGGTTTCTTGAAAAGTCAGTAAGAGCAACTGCATACATAACGTTTAGTGAACATACTTTTGTGTTCACGCATTCCACCTCCATAAGAAAGTGAGATGAGTCCAGTGTCCATGTCATTCTTGTGACAAAACTTCCATCAGCAATCAGTACTGCCAGACCAAAAATCACACATACTAAATTTTATGTTTAGGATATCTGGTGATATTGGGGTAAACACTTGACTCTCATTCAGACAATTCTGGGTTCATTCGCCAGCCAGATCTGTGCAGATATTTATGCTGAAAGACTGAAATCAACTGTACTAAAGATAAAATGAAGGATGCCCCCCCCCCCAGGTTTGAAGCCGACATTAAGCTGCAGTTCCCCTCTGCTATCATTCTCATGATCATCCTACACTGAGGGTAAGAGAATTTGGCCTATGGGTGCCCACCCCTCAGAATTCTATATCCTTGCCCATATGGACAGAGAACAGAATGGTTAAATAAATCATATCTAGCGGCAGCAGAAAGCCAACCAACCAATTGTGTTGCTAGTGGCGAACATTTTAAGTTGTCACAAAGATATTAAATGTGGTTGATTGTAAAATGGGACTCTTGAAGATAACAAAATTAAACACCTAATGTAATAAAGGATCACTGGATAATAACAGAAGAAAAAGTATTTTGAAGAGTGTAACACAGTTTTAATTAAACAGATCAGTCTACCTGGACTAATCCAATGGACAGTGCATAGCCTGTCATAGCTGCAGCCGCAAATAAACCAGCTAATACTTGATGTCTTCTACGATTAGGAAAATCTGATACTGATTCTGGTGTTTCTCCTCGAGCACCACTTCCTGCAGACTTTTTTGCATCAAATTCTGTCAATGAAATAGTTTTATTAATACAACCCTTCTAAAAATAAATCTGTAACAAATAAACTTGTTTGTACAAACACCAACTCTTCATGTCAAAGATTCCAGTTCATTCTCGACATAAATTGTTCTATGCAGATACAGAGCAGAAAATAATTATTTTGCATTTAACAGGTTGGACACAGTGATCAAATTAGTTTGATGGTACATAATTCTACACTAATGAAAGACCTGGATTTTTATATAATCAGTTAAAATAAAGCATCTATATAATTAAATTCATAAGAAACAAATATTTGAACTTTGCAAGGGCCTTTAAAAATACTCAAGAACAAAGCCTATGTACATAAGCACTGTTTTGTTGGGATCTACAGGTTTCTTCCTTATTATGCATTCCATAATGAGGTGGTTTTACTTCAGGGCCTAAATTTAAGAAAGCTAAACAACCACCCCACTTCTCACATTAGAAGTATGAGTTATGTGTAGTAAAGAGTTCATTTTTTTGGTAAATATTACATACCTTGTATTGCATAAGGAAAGTATCTTTGTGTAATGCGAACCACAAATCTGGCTAGATTTGGGCATGCCTTGAGGTAATTCTGCAGTGCTGGTGAAGGGAAAGGCACCTTAAGAAGAGGTGCAAGGTATGCATAAACAGTCGCATCTAAGGATGTAGGGTGAACACCAAAAAAGAATTCTTGATCTCCAAGCCGTGTTGAGAGAGCAGTTAGGCATTTTTCAGCTTCACCATACACCTGTAATAATTCATATGCAGTTTTATTTTATAACTTATTATGCACTTTGTGATGTAATATTTTCTAATTATTCTAACTGTGATGTTTGGAAACTTAATTAATATGCGTGCACACATACATTCATATAAAATAGTTTGTAACACATCTATTTAGTTGCAGAATGTTGTTCATACCACCCAGATCATGTATTTATGACATGTTTCGGCCATATACAGCCATTTTCAAGTATATTACAGTATAAAATGTAATTTCATGTATTCTTCATTAGTGGCAGTCATAAATAGAAGTTCCCATTTCTGGGTGCAGTGTTCTTGTGTGATATCAGTATGTGTTCAGAAGTGTGGATGTGTGTATGTTGTGGTGTATGTGAAAGTACTTACATGTGTTGCTGGTGGTTGGTGTGTGTGGGCTACAACTGTTTCCAGTAAGTTGGGTCTATTATATAGGGGTTTAGAGCTTCAATATAGGGTTGTAAGTACCATTCATGTGTAGGTCGTCTTTTCTGATTAAGTAAATATGGTATTTCTCAGTGCTGTGTAGATGTTGCTGTTTTCCTTTCTTTCCTTATAATGTCCATGATGTCATGTGGGTTTGAAGCTTTCACGGCAAATAAATGTGCTGAAATCTTCTCAGGTGATCAGCTATGTCAGTGTTGAGGTAACAACCGACACTTCAGAGGTCTCCTCCATCTCTATTATCAGGTTTGATGTGGTGAATGATCATTCGTCTCTGATATATATTGTGACATGACGGCTGGAATAGAGGAACAAAAACCAGGCAGCCATCACCATGCAGCAGCACAGTAAATACGTTTCCACTAACACAGTATAGGATGTGGTGTTTTATATGTGGTACCTGCTGAGGTTACATAACGAGGACCAGCTGGACAGGCCGGTCAATCAGGAGTTAGAATCGGTGGTTAGCAGCGAGCCTCGAGTTACACTGTTAGCAGCTGTTACCTAGCAATGGCTAGTGAAAAGAGAACAACAAACAGAAGACTTTATACATGCTGTGGTTGTAGTGACCTATAGAGCATATATCAGCGAGACTGTTATAGTTATTTGTATTTATGAGTTAGAAGTGTTAAATAAATCCAATTATCAATCCAAATCCTGTGTCTGATCAATAACACATGACAATATATAACAATTTATCAAATCAGTGCCTGGTCATACTGGCATACTGTGCAGAAAGAGGGTGGAGTTGAATCATGCAGTTACCCATCCAGCTCTAATCTATCACCATGTCACTTAAGCTGGTGCCATATTAATTAATTTTGTCTTCTTTGTAGCATGCTCTACCCTTTGTTCTTCTTGTGATTGTCCTGGTATATGTGCGCTGAAGTGTCCTAATAATCTTGTGCCAGGATTCCATGTTTTGCTAAGTTTAAACCCTTTCTCTTTGTTTATATTGTTCAGATATATTTTTATTTTTATTGTCTCTTTGACAAGTCAGTCTGTGTAGCCAGACATTTTGGCTAGTACCATGGTCTCTTGAAACCTGATCTGGTGGCCTGATTCAGTGCTGTATTCTGCCACTGTTGGCTTGACCAGTTAATACACACAGAAATTTGGTTCAGAATTTTCCATGAAATAATTGGTCACAGTAAGTGCCAGTGGTGATGCCATTGCTATGCCATCCTCCTGGTTACAGACCCTGATGATGGAGACTGAGATCTCTGAAACGTTGAGTTTAAATGCAACATTGACATGGTGTATCATTCATGAAAATTTCTGAACATCTATGATGTCAGTTTTTGTGCCATATGTATCTCCTGTATTAATAATGCAGTTTGAATATGTGGAATTACTGCTGTTGTTTCTAATGCCTTCTCTGTATTCTTTGTATCTAGTATTAAATGTTACCCTTGTTTTATATATTTTAATGGGCAGTTTAGGCATTTCATTTGGTAGATGCTGCTTTTGTTATATTTATATGTCTTAATATGCTTCCTATTGTGTTTTGTGTCTTGGAAAAGTTCTGTGATCTTCCTTCTTTGTTGTCATATATGAAGGTAGCCCATTTTGTTTTTTGTTGTTTGGAGTTCATGTATGTATTTTGTTTTTTGATGATGAATGTTGTACTGATTGTTATATAAAATAAAATAGTAGTAGTGTTCATTTCTGTTTCTTTTGCTTCTTAAGACATTGAATGTATGTGTAGTCTGTTTAGTGGGTGATTAATATTTATAATTTGTGTTCATATGAGTGACAAGAATTGTGATGTATTATGATATGGGTTTGTGTGGGTTGTCTGTATATTGAGAATCTTAATTTTTTATCTTCTCTATGTATTGTAAGGTCTAGGAAGTGAAAGGAACTGTGTAATTCCTTTTCTGTGGTGGATTTTATGGAAGGTTGTAATTTGTGGAATTCATTTAAGCTCTGCTTTGTTATTTTTGTTATGGTTGTAGATAATAAGAATATCATCTTTGTACCAAAAGTGCTGTTATTTGTTGTGATATTAGGATTGGATATATTTATTCATGTTCTAGGTGTTGTAAATGTGTTTCTGCTAATATTGCTACCCATAACTAACCCATAAGTTTATTTGTAATATTGTTGGTTGGACTGCATGTAGTTTTGTCGCATTAATGTTTGCAGTATGTGTAGTGTTTCATTTTAGTACTTTGTTAGTATGTTGTTACTTATGTTAGTGATGTCTGCTTTTGGTATGTAGGTATCTGCAACTAAATAGCTGCATTACAACTGTTGTAAATAATTATGCTTAGCTTCTGTTTCTTTGTCATTGCAAAATGCCATGAATGTTTCATTTCTGTTGCATTATACAATGGAGGTAGATAAGTGAAAATGCAGTTATAGCATGAAACTCTGTTCTCGGCCTCTTCTGATTTACAGACCAGAAAAAAGCAGTGGGCTTTCTGATCATTACCATATCTGTTCCATATTTGACAGTACTAACATGTCTTAAACATATTTATTTACAATATAAAATGAATGTCTTTATGTGCTGTATGCAAACATACACAAAATTTTTAACTTTAATAATAATAATAATAAAGTTTGGATTATCTGTCAATATGATTTGAATTTATACAGATTCTTAAAATGTTGGTTTGACACATCGCTTAAAATAAGCTACAGTGATGCATGATTTTAGTGTGAGAAACATTCTTAATTCATGTTGATAATATAAAAAATGCAATTCTCAGCTTAAATTTTTTTTAGATAGACATCTGAAGATCCTTTTGTGTTCAAATTAGTTTTATGAAATTTCTAAATAACTGATAATTATATGAAAATTATGGACATGATAAAATATTTATTATTATGTCTGCCTGGAACATTTTTTCCATCCACATGTAAAGAATGAGATAAATATAAAGTTCATTTAGCCCAAGCATTAAGAACCGATCTACTCAGCAGAAGTAACCGAAATTCATATTTTGTTATGATTGTTATTAGGGTCTCTCATATTAAATATCATGAAAATCTGGTGAAGGGTGCAGAAAACAGAAAGGTGAATAGGGATCTGTTTAAAATTGTAAGTCACAGTAAGGTAAGCTTATACTATAAGCTAGTAGTAGTAACACAAGTAGCAGTAGCAGTAGTATATTTCCCTGTATGTTCACATTTATTAGAGAAAATCTTTTCTCTTTTAATGATGTAATATGGGTACATTTGTCTGTCTAAAACAAGGCATTATAACCAAGTATTCATAACTTCTCCCTTTTACAGTTGGAGTTACCAATTTCTATGCTGTTAGGCAATTTGTCTCTAACATTCTATCCTGACATTCCTGATTTTAGAACAGCATTATGTTCTAAGAAATATGAATTACATTAAATATAATTGTATCTGCATTCAATTTGACAGATCATAAGTATGCAGACTTTAAAATATGATGTAAATTACAATCTACATATATCTACTTCAGTTCCTTGTACTGATTACATGTTGTTAAAACCCCTTACATGTTCCATTCACACAAAAGCATCTATGTGGGGTGTACCATATTAAAGAGAATCTTTACAATTTGTGTATATAAAAAATAAATTTCATATAACATTTTAATATGTTATATGAAATATATGACATGGGTATTTAAACTTTTTATTTTGCATATGTATTGTTTGTGTTTAGTATGGTATGCTCCCTGAAGACAGTCTTGTGTAACTGAAACATGTCGGGGTTGTAACAACATATTTTATTGTACAGCCTGATGGGAACTCACAACAATTTACAGAACTGCACTTTCCACTGGCTGGCAGAGATGTACATTTAAGTAATAGTTTCAGGAATTGCATAATCACAAAGCCTGAGAATCCATAGGTTAAAGAAATTTGCATTATTCATGAATTTACATGGATGAATATATTTTATTCAAACAGTAAGAAGGACCCTGTGGGCCTAAACGCCATGCTATGGGGGCATATAGAGGGCATGTAGCAATCCCATAAATTCTAGATCCCAGCTCTATGTGGAGGTGAGTGGTCATGCAACTGATTCATCCTTCTCTACCTCTTTAATGGTTGGCTGGATAATGTCACTGCTGCATTATTTCACATATATTCGTCACCATCCTGTAACTGGCCACTGTAAGTTGTTCTCAGATTGGATACGACTAATACTTTAAGGATTCACCTGTTGGGTGTCCAAGCAAGTAATTATATTCAAGAATGTATAGGATGTGGGTGACTTCAGAAATAATGAGTAACAGGATACCTTAGCAGGTGATGGGAACTATTTTATCATAGGATATTTAATTGGGTAATGAATGAAGTGCTGGGGAAGGTAAGGTATTTCTTGTAACATAAAATAAAGGAGTTTGATCTGATAGTTGTTTAATAATAACATCAGCAGTAATCCATGTCACACAAGTAACATACTTGGCAATTCATTAACACCTAACAACACACGTAAATAGCTGGAACTGTTAAATTTAATCTGATTGATATGTGAAAGCTTCTACTGTCAAACCCTTAGATCAGCAACAAAGTTTTGTTAAGCTTCAGGTTCAAGGCTCCTAGTATCCACTGAACAGAAGGCTGGGTGAGTCCCATAGGTGGTCTAGTGGCAAAGAGAAAATTATAGGGAACTGAACCCTGTTCATTCAGCCCCACAGGCAATCACACTGCTATATTTCTAGTTCACTAAAACAATGTTCAGTCTTGATAGGAATATTTTGAAAATTAATGTCTCTACTGTATGTTTAATATTTTATATACCCTATACCATAACCCTGTAAACAAGCAGTGAGCTGGGTAGTTGTGTAGGTGCAGCTACAACAGGTTATTGGCTCCAGTGAGCATAATTCATTCAATGTCTATATGAGTACACAAGCCTTTAAGCAGTATGTTTTTCCCTGCAAGGAACATGGTGTGTGAGAAAAGCAGAGACAAATTTTTTGTATTTGCAGTTTGATTTGTGGCAGTGTTCAAAACTTGTCAGAAACCAGTGTTACATCGCACACTTACTTTAAATAAGTAGGCCTATTTATGGTATTTACACTGTAAGGTATTCATCCTCCATTTGTTCAAACCTACACAAATTATAATACTTTAAATGAAAATATTTTATGCTTACAAATGTTTCAATGCTTTGTGGGTCATCATCTTGGTCATATAACGCTTGCAGTTGGTGCTTTGCTTCCCGCTCATAACTTCCTGGGTAATAGTAGTTGCATGGGAAAGGAAGTGCTTTTGCATACCATGGTCGGATCAATTCTATGTAATTTTTGGTATCTACCCACCTGAAACATTTTATATGCATTTATATGCAGTGCTGGCAAACACGCTTACTATATAGTAATATCAAGATATGATGTCCCAGAAAAAAAAGTCTGGTACTAAACATATAAATCTTCCAACCAATTAAAGTGTGAGGTCATTTCTGCACAGATGTCAGGATCTTACTTAGTTGTGTTCTGATCTGTTATTTTAAAAAAATGCAGCTGATGTTTGGGTATGAGTCTCCTTAAACAAGCAGTGGGGTAGGGTGTATATCTTTCTGAGAGTACCTTTTCAGATTAATCCAAAAAATAGATTGGAATGCTGTTAATAATATATTACACCTTGGCCTGCTTTGTTAACTGAAAATGAATACATAATGACCAACAGATATGGAACTTAAGGCCTAATTTCCAGAAGCTACACCATATTTGAACTGGAGTAGAAGTACAGATAAATGCTTGATAATTGTGTGTGCCAATGTTCTTTTCAATGAATATAAAAGCTAAGCTGGTAAGACACTGCCCATAAAGAATGTATAATTAATTTGTCAATGCAAGGACCAACATATCTGCCAGTGAATGGGAAAGTACTTCAGTTTTACAGATCCCAACAGCATCCTTCTTCAAGCATTAGTAATGATGAATGGGGTTAGTTGTTAATATGGACTATTCCCTTGAAAAAGGCCTTATCATTTTGTGTATGACAAGTTCATAAACCCACTGAATTACATACTGGTAGTAAATGCGTAGGTCTGAAACTGAATTAACAAAGTTATACTGTACTTAGATATACAAGGCAGAATGGGAGGAATAAACCACTTTCTCCCTTCACCACCACAGAAACAAATTTATTTATTTGCATCTGTGTTGTAAAATGACTGTTGACCCCAAACCTTGTCATAATTATTTACAGTCAAGTGCTACTAATTGCTGTCAGAGCAACTTACCGTACATACTGAAGTGCAAAATATAACTGTCCTCTGAGAAGCTGAGTATATGCAAGTACCTCAGAACACTGTTTATGAGATAGTCCAAAGTCGGCATTAAAATTCTGGAAGTGAATTAATCAGTATTATAAATGTTCTCATTTACAAATCACATGAAGCTGCTGATTTCAAAGCAGTAAGCCCTGAATTTTGATGACATGACTGGTTATCACATGCAATCTCAAGTATCCCTCTTAGATGTGTAAATAGAATACATGTCCTACTGGAGGCACATGGTTGAGGATCTTCTAAACAGACACAGTAAGCTCTGATTATCTGTGATCAAATGTTTCAAGCATGAACACTGGGATCTTATCTCCTATCTCACTGCATCCCTTCATACTTTCTATTTCACAGCTTTAGGAAGATCATCCACCATATAGGAAACCCTTCTCTCATTCCTACCGTGTCCATAACTTCAGTCCTTTTTGAACTATTGATAGTTCTCAATGACCGCTTTATGGAATAGTGTAAGAAAGCTGGTCAATGTACAGTCAAGTTCAGCAGCATTGTGTCTAAGCCACAGTCACTGAAGTGAGAGATTTACAAGTATTTATTTACAACTGTTCTATAAAACAGAGCAAATGTTTTTTAATTTCACTTGCAGAAGTACACTGAAGATGGCTGACAAGATGAAACATGTCTGCAAAAGAAAATCCATGGCTTTAGTCCACAAGCAAACCATACCAACCGAGTGACTGCCACTTGTCAGTGAAGTTAGTGCCAACTTTAGCGGATAGAGGGTGTTGCGTGGTCAATGCAACGAATACCCACAGATGTTAATTTCGGTTTTCTAGACCAGAGCCGCTACTTTTCAATTCAAGTAGCTCCACAATTACCTTCTCAAGGCTGAGTGGACCCTGTTCCAGACCCACTGCTTCTCAGAAAATCTGGTAGCGCAGGGAATCGAACCCGGACTCTGGATCTGTAGCCAGAAACTCTGACATCTAGACCACAGAGATGGTCAAAACATGTCTGCAAATTAAATTTAAAATAATCTGTTCTGATAAGGGTGGTTGGTCATATACAACAAGAAACAAGTACATAATGCCTGATTCAATGGCAAAACAAGTGCACTGCAATTGACAGGGACTTCATGGGAAAATAAGCTAGTGTTTCTTGGATCTGCAGTCTCCTTTCCTGAAAAAATTGCGACGGGAAGTATATTTATTAGGAAAATAACATAAGGCATTGCTAACAAACTTTATTATTATTCCATAATCTTAACTGTATTGTATACATTTTTTGGTAATTTATGATTTAACAAACTCTTTCCAACTTTTCACATTGTGCAGCTAATAAGGGAGCTCCATTCTTATAAACTTTTTACTTCATGATATTTCATGATACTGGTAGTTTGTCAACTATTGTGTATTTGGGTTATGCTTGATAATGACTTCATCCTTAAAACATGTAGTGGAAGAAGTAAGGTAAAGTTATCCCTCTGCTTAGTTAATTAAGCAATATAGCATGAGGTGTATGGGGAGTGGATGTATTTTCTTGACATTTTCTTGACCTTGGCACTAGTTGGAGATGAGTGGTCAACTTCATGCTCCAGCCACTTTACCCCCAAGGAAAGATCCCATGGTACCCATTGTATAGGAGGTTGGGTGGACCCCAGAGCCGGTCTGGACAACACGGAGAAGTGAAATTTCTTGCCCCACTGGGACTCGAACTCAAACTCCGTCCTCCAGCCCATAGCCAGTCGTTATACCAAGTGAGCTATCCAAAATTTATTATATAGTATGTGTAAATAGAAGTAAATGAATTATACAGTATGTGTAAATCTGTTTCTGTTGATAGTTTTGATAATTACTTGATGGAAAGCATTTATTTTATATTCATCTTCATATTTTCTGGATTATCAGCTGTATTTTGTTATCTGCACTTGTTTCCCTCTGTTCTGTCATTGTCATGACAACAAATCTGTATAGCTGTATATGTATCTATTTCATACAGTATGTTCGGGCCAAGTGGTTGCATTGTTGGTTGAGGCACTGTGCTACAAGCCAGAAGGTCACGGGTTCAATTCCCAATGAAGTCAGTGGATTTTTCAATTTACCTAGTCCTTCCAGCCACACTATGGCCCTGGGGTTGACTTAGCCTCTAACAAAAATGAGTACCAGGAATCTTCCTGGGGAGTAAAGGGCAGCTGGCACAGAAGGCTGACAACCTCACTGCCATCTGTGAGCTGATAAAGTGGAAGTGTCGACATCTCAGAACCCTATGGGCCTACATAGCCTGTTACAGAGATAGCTTTTTTTCTACACAGCATGTGTTATATATATATATATATAACTAAGAGTATATTGTATAGTGGTCATAGGAAATGAGACTCATAAAACTAAATGGTTATATTTTAACTTCATCATGCACTGGCAAACTATGGACTTTAAAAATGTAAGTAAGTTGTATATAACTTCTGTTGACTTCTACTTCTCAGTGATACAATGTGGAGAGTACTGAGATGGAAATGAAATTATACAGAGGAAAATAAACATCCATTACCTTTTTTCTTAGATAGGCTGATATTTCAGGAAAGCTACTCAAAATTTGTTTACCATGTTTGAAAACTGGTAATCTTCCATTTGGTGTCCAAAATGGGTTGTTGGTCACACAAGTTTGAAGAGGAACCCCTGAAAACTTTGCATATGCCTGTAACACAAGAAAATGTAAAGCTGCCAAAATATTGACCTAATTATGGTTTTCTTTCAGAGGTGCATGTAATTATGTTTAATTAAAATTGCAGTGAACCAGAAAGGCTAAATGTGCCATACTGTACTGTCATCATCTTTGTTTACCTTCTATTTAAATCCCTAATTACATACCACATGCTAATGAGGACTGAAATGCTATCTGCTTGTAGAGTTTTAAACCCAGGACCTTCAAAATTCATAGGATTGCTAACCACTATACACAGGGGGAAATATGAGATTCTTTTGAAATCATTGATTCAAGGATGGTCTAGACCATAAAGCTGCATGCACTCTAGAAATTGACACTTCGTAGTTTTGTATAATGATTTTTAACTTCTCTGTGACTGGTGCATATCCATATAATTCTGTTCATGTCACTGAATTGATAACACCTTTACAATAGTTTCCTGTCTCATGCAGTGTGACTTGCCTGCTACCCACTGACATAAAAACTACAACAAATCAAACTAATGTGAGAATGTTAAAATCAAATCAGTGCTGTCAACATTCATTCTAATTTCTTCCATAATAATCTTAAACTTATTCTTGATGTAACTGTTTCTCCCTTGATGTCTTTAGTTGGGTTGTTTTGACGTAAGGTGATATATTCTACAATCTTGCCTTTATCTCACATGTGTACTGTTATTCCTATACATTCCACTTAAAATCGTCCCCTGAGAAAATCTGAGGTTCTTGATCACCCTGTCATTGATATATATATATATATATAATCTTCTCTATGACCTGTGCTGATTAGTTTCCTGTAAAAAATCCAACTCTCAAAATGCATTACACTCTCATGTACTATCTTGCAGTTCCGTCTGTGGAACTGTCACATTTACATAGGTAAACATTTTAATGAACGGAAGTCTTTTCTCGGAATGGCAGCCTCAGTGAACACTCTGATTTTCCCTTACCATAATTTCTAGACAGTGTAGATCAACTGAAGGTAGGCCCCAGTCACCTCCCCAAATATAAAGTTCCATGGGATGGTTCATGTCGTGAAATTAGACCTCGAGGCGTACTCTTGCGATGTCACTTGATTATTCAACGACGAAACTACAATTCAGCGTAACTATAACAAAAAATGTTGAAGAAGTGGTTTCACAGTCGCTCATTTCGTGTTAAAACTCTCACTAGAATGTTAAAGAATATTCCTATGCAGTGTTTTATACCCAAGACTTTCTCTGGCAACGCCAGAGAACATCTTGTGTAAAACACTGCATAACGTACTAGTCGTTAAAGGGGAAAGATGTCTCAATTCCTCGCAGTTCATGCTCAGTTCCAAATTTATAACCTTTACACTGCCGACAAGTTTTTACGAAAGGAAATATTTAAATTATTTAGTTATTCTGCTGTTTGAAATCCAGTTCGCCTACACATTACTAACGTAAATTAACTGGTGTCACTGTTCAAAACAGCCGCAATTGTCATGATTGTCATTGTGAAATAACGATTGTAACCTCAACATAGAGCAATCACTAACCACGCTAACCACATGCAGCGCAAACATGCCTCGTCTGCTGAGATAATTTAGCAACGTTCACAACCATTTGCATCGATTCCTACGTTAATCGTACACAAGATAGCCAACATGCATTATGAGACATATTTCCCGTGTTTCCTAACGGATATTTATTTTACAGGCACATGTTTCTTTTTCCACATTACACGTTTATCAATAACTGTTGGAATCAACTCGAGCGATAATAATAACAATAATGGTCATTTTCAGTTTGCAGTATTTGGCATGTAGTCTGAGTTGTCTAAGCGCACGCTTGAAGAGACAAAGTTCCCCCCACGGAGAGGAAAATTTATTCATTCATTTATTCACAGTTCTACAAAATTCATGGAGGCGTCTGCCTCAGATGAATTGATAACTTCATCGATATTCATTCGGTTCCGTCCGTTCCACCCACTTCGAAGAGCGTCGAAGAGTATGGTGATCTCATCTCAGCTGTAGGCATCGTATGTTTCATTTTCTTTTTTGGTTGTAATGGTTTTCTTCGGAATCACTCTTCCACGCGTGGCACGTGATTTTGCCTTGGTGATAGAATTTTTGTAGGAAGCGGAAGCTCGTTCTGTAATGCTATGAACAAATGACTGAGGACTCAGTTTACAAATTTATGTAATTGGTAAACATTAATTACGTATATTTTTAAGAGTCTTTGACATTTTAGGAAAACTGCTAAGTACCTCTTTGCCATGTCTGAAATCAGACTTTTGCGGTCATACTTTACAGTATATGCCTCTGTTTTGAACTATGATGTTAATGTCAAAATTTAAAGAGTGGAGTGTGGTGTAGCAGTGGTTTGGTTAGTAGTGGTATGGCATCATAAATGGCTTCTAATAACATACACAATGTACCGCAGAAAAGTTTATGTAAGGTATGCCTCTTCGTTTTTACTCCATAGTGATGGAGTCATTGGTCTATTACTTTTTATTTTATATATAAATGACTTTCCTCACGTAACTCAAGGTAGATCTATAATGTATGCAGACTACACTTCAATATTGAATGTGGCTCAAGATATAAATGAACTCCAATATATAACTTTAATTAATATTGGAGTTTTGGAGAAATACTATGAGATAAATGATTTATTCATAAACCCAATGAAAACGTACTGCATCTCTTTTCAGACAAAGAATGTAGGCAGCACCATAAATATAAAATTTTATCAAGCATATGAAAATAGAGAATGTTAAAAGTATAAACTGTGGGGGCTAGCAATTGACAGCACATTGAGCTGGGATGTTTATATCGATAGAACCTGCAGTTGAATTAGCTGCAACTTATTTATAATAAATAGACTTGCTAAAATACTCGACCTAAAAGGTAGAAGAATGTTATATTATGGTTTGATCTATCTCTTTCTAACATATGGAATTGTATTATGGGGGCACAGTGCTAAGGCACTTACTAAAAGAATTTTTATTCTTCAAAAAAGGGCAGTATGGTACACTGCAGGGCTAAAACCTTTAGAATCGAGCAGAGAGAGTTTTAAACAACTTAAGATTTTAGCAGTATATTCATTGTACATACAACAAACCAACTTATATGTAAATAATAAGTGTAACTGCACAGTAAATAAACAAGTACACACACAATACAAGAAACAACAATGACTACCATAAATGGGTGCATAACTTAGAACTTTATAATAGTAAACCTTCAGTTGCTGGTTGTATCCTTTATAATAAATTACCTAATAATATAAAACAACTTGAAAATAAAAACCAGTTGATAAGGGAACTGAAGAATTTACTCATTAATGGGTGTTACTACTCAATTGAAGACTATATGAATTATAAATTCTTAAATACTGGATAATGATACATGCTAGATGTAAACAATTATTACATATTTGGTTAGTTTATTGGTTAAGAATTTATTGTATTTTTGCTAATTTTAGAATTTATATCATGTGTCATATCCTATATCAGTGTAATCTGATCTATAGGATGAATAAACATGCATGAATGAATGAATGGCTAAAGTAAATTGTGCAAAATTAAGATATATATTGTTAATTTTCGAATGAAAATTTTGTAACCAAAAGCTTGTGAGGATAGGTGTTATGGTGGTGGGGTTGAGGCCCTGGGTGTGAGAATGTATTACTTCATTAGGGAAATTTATATGTTGTATGCAACTCTAGATCAAATATTCCTGTCCATTATAAATAGATTCTCTATAGTTGTAATTTTTATTTACAATAGTCTCAGTATAAGTTAACAGGGAAGATTAAAAACATAGGTGCAGCGTTTGTCCATAGTGTCCTCCCACTATCTGCCTTCTGAGCACCATTTATGTATCACCTACGACTATGGTGTTACCAGCAGTCCGTCTGGTTTTTAAATGAGCAATAACATAACCAAAGCTAACCTAACTGAAACCTAAATTAATATATTTTGTGGACATATGCAGTCTCCTTTTTTCTCTTGGTTGAGATAACTGAGAACCAGTCACACAGCTGGTTTATGGAAATTGACATTATCCTGATTGGATCTCAAAGTATTTTTCCTTGCTGTGTCTCGAATGCCAGAAACTGTGTTCTACTTCAGCAAAATTTATGGTGGAAATTTGTAATATGTTGTAGATTGAAAGGACATGCTGGTCTCTGAGCAGATGGTGGATATGCATTGAATGCTGTGAGTTTGATCATTTCTTTGCTTTGCTGTATGTTACATACATTATACCCATTATTAATTCCAAAAAATTTAAAGATTGGATTTTGATTTACAGTTGGTACCAGTGATCATTTATGATGTGGGTAAATGCACCCTTAGTGCAGTTGAGAGATATATACATAATTGTTCATTCAACCATTGATATAATTGACATAATCATATAATAGAAATGCTGTACAACAGTTTTTATTAAAGTGTGGTTTGGGATTGTGAAGTTGATTAGGGTCCTCAAGCAAAATGGTCCAGTTCAAGTTGTACTTACATATGGTAATAATCTTAGAAAATGCTGTATATTCAGTTTCTTGTAAGTCTGCCAGAGTACATTAAGACTATATAAAAGATTCATTTGGTCCCTTAAGTAAAGAAGTCCTTCAAATTACCTACATTAAACCAGAATCAAATGATTAACAAAATACAGTAAACTCCCCATTATACAGCTTGTATGGGGAATGAGATGGTCCATTTATATTAATATGCTGATTGTATAAGAAAACTCCAATTTTCACAAAATTCTCACACATATTCTCTTTTACCTATTTCCGTTTTCTGTTTCAAAGTCAAAACTGTGTTTTTGCTTTACTTCATACATGTGGGGTCTTCTTAGATGACATAGTGGATTGATGGTTGAAAGATTTCAAATATAGTGTAACATGGTCACAAATTAAACTAGCCTCTACTGTAACCGTGGATCACTGTGGCTGTAATGACACTTGCATGAGGTAGTGCTACATCTAGTGCTGCTAGTGGCATCTGCAAGAACTACTGTGGGACAGTATAGACAGTATGCATATAGGATTTTGGTGGGAAATCCAGAAGGAAAGAGACCTCTGGGAAGACCAAGGCATAGGTGGGTGAACAATATTAAAATGTATTTCTGTATGTAATAATACAAATGACGTCGTGAATGCAACAATTTATTTGGTTGTAATTCTTTGTCTTCTCTTCCTCTACACGGGCCGAACATTTAACACCAGATATAAGGAACATATACATGATATTATAAATACTAATAGCAATTCCGGATACTCAAATCACATACTAACTATGGAACATTCATATGGAGCAATAACAGACATAATGGAAGTTGTAACAACGGGAAAGAATGGTACACATTTGAATACATTAGAGAAGTACCATATATACAAAGTAAGTAAGAGGGGCCTACACATGAATGACACACACATAGAAACACACAATCCCATATTTCAAACAATATACGAGATCTATACAGACTAACGGTATCCCCCCTCCCCACTACCCCTTCCTCTCCTACACTCAACAACATAAAAACACAGCACACAACACGCCAGACAGCAAAAGTATTAAAGATGAGCAGCGACACACACACAGGGAGCCTGCACAGAACAATACATGAACGGTGCTGGAAACAAGAAATAGCTGCTGCAGCACATGTAGACACAGAGCAGGTATCCCTGGTTTTTAAAATTAAAAAAAAAAATAATTTAAACTGGAATTCTAAAATCAAATTGACAAGGGTATTTTTGGGAATTTTTTAAAAAA